TATCCCGACACTTACCTTGATGTTTCGCTGTTCAAATCTTGGTTGTAGGACTGTTCAATCTTGTGTGTTTGCACTAGGTAGGTAGGCGGTGCTATCCCGAGACTTACCTTGATGCTCCGCTGCGCATACATTGGCCGCAGACTTGATAAAACTTGTCTTTTGGGCTTGATTGATAAGCGGTGATATCCCGACACTGACCTTGATGATCCGCGGTTGTTCACTGGTGGTTTGTGTTGTTTACACTCATGCTTTTCACTCATGTACGAGGTAGTTGTGCTCCGATACTTCTTTGAATGATGTGATGTCGTTCCACCTCCGATCTTGGCTACCCACGCTTGTGCTGTTCATCTGCATTATAGGTAATGGTGCCCTGATTTCTTAAAAGTCTGCAACTTTCTGAAAAAATAGTACTTGCTGCAAATTCTGTATTTTTCTGCAATTTCTAAATTTCCTGCAAAGATCTGTGTTTGCTGCAAGATGCGGTATTGGCGACCTCAGTGGTTCCCTACAGAGTATGGGTTAGTGACATCGGTGTGCCTACTGAAGGGATAATGGCATAATGCTGGGGAAGTAGGCAGTAGATAGGCGGAACTCCCGGGCGTATGGGCAACTGGAACGGCACCACACCTCGCCTCTTCTTCCACCTTCATCTTCCCCACCCATCCACCATAGTCGTCCACCTTGCCTAGATGTCCAAAGGACAACCCAAAGCACCTTCCATCTCCATTCTCCTTCATCTCCCACACCCGTCCGCCATAGCCTAGCACCTTCCACCTTCGTCTTTCACACCCATCCACCATAGCTGGCAGCTTCACGTCTTCTTCCACCATCATCTTCCACACCCATCCACCTTGCCCCGATGTCCAAAGGACAACCCAAAGCACCTTCCACCTTCTTCCTCCTCCATCTCCTTCGCCTATCCACCATAGCCAAGCACCTTCCACCTTCTTCCTCCTCCATCTCCTTCACCCGTCCACCATAGCCAAGCGCCTTCCACCTTCCCCATCCTCCGTCTCCTTCACCCAACCCCGATAGCCAAGCACCTTCCACCTTCTTCCTCCTCCATCKCCTACACCCGTCCACCATAGCCATGCGCCTTGGACCTTCTTCCTCCTCCATCTCCTTCACCCATCCACCATAGCCGGACACCCCTCACCTTCCTTCTCCTCCATCACCCACGCCCATCCACCATAGCCAAAGCACCTTCCACCTTCTCCCTCCTCCATCTCCTTCACCCATCCACCATAGCCGAGCACCTTCCACCTTCTCCCTCCTCCATCTCCTTCACCCGTCCACCATAGCCAAGCACCTTCCACCTTCTTCCTCCTCCATCTCCTTCACCCATC